AGTTGCTACCAATGAATATGACTGCTCTGTCATGACCCACAGAGACCAAGCTTTGTATCATTAAATTATCAGTGTTCTCTGTATATATGGTTTATTTTATTTTTTATTTTTATTTATTAACTTTAGAGAAAGAGGAAGTGGGGAGAGAGAGAAACATCAGTTTATTGTTTTACCTATTTTTGCATTTATTCGTTGATTCTTGTACTCACATGTGCCCTGACTGGGGATGGAACCTGCAACCTTGGCTTATCAGGGCAACGCTCCAAGCCCCTGGCCAGGCCATATATACATGTCTAATGTCACCACCGTGTCATAACATTGAGGGAGACCCAAAAATATTTTGGGTTCCCATTCAAGATGACCGTGTAGGAAAATGCTGAATTCTCTCTGCAGGGACCTGGAAATGGAATGACTAGAGTCTCCATAACAAGGGGCAGTGCAGAGAAGGGTAGGAGAGGTGGAAATACAGTGACTCAGGAGAAAAACCACATCCCGACTGCTTCACAGTCAGGAGGGGGCTCAAGGCTACGGAACTTTTCCCAGAGGAGCCAGGGATTCAAGCTCCTCATCAGGCACAGGACCCTGCACAGGGGAGAGGAGCCCCCAAAACACCCAGCTTTCAGAATCAATGGGGGATACGTTCAGGAAAACTCCAGAACTGCAGAAAAAAAGAAAAACCTGCCCTTAAAGGTCTCACGCACGGTCTCACTTGACTCAGAAATCCGTGTAAAACCAACAGATAAAAAAGCACGTAGGCTGTTGGTTAAGAGTTCAACGTGCCAACCTTGAAGTGCATGCTGGAGAGGCAGGAGGCAGCTGGGAGTTTCTCTGGGGACTGAGACACTGGCAAAAGTCATTTTTGTGATCTTGTTCTCCTGTGCTGAGCCCAGTTTTAGTGGGCGGCATTTCACAATCTTCCCGCTAGCCTGCTAGTGCCACTGGGCGCACCCCTGGAGAGTCCTGCCCACACCTCGGCCTCCACCAGCTCCCCGGTCCGCCAGGGTGCCCGCAGCAGCCACAGCCCCACCACGTTACAATGATGCATGAAGCCCCTGGCACCTGGCTTTGGTGCCCAGAGTGGCATTGCACTGCCGGGCCCCACAGGGTTTCTCCTGCATAAGGTCGCATCTTAAAGCCCAGGAAACACAGCCGATCTACCTAACGCGTAGAAACACAGAGAATTGGGCATAATGAGGAGACAAAGAAAGATGTTCCAAACAAAATAGGAAAACTAAACATCAGAGAAAAAAACTAAACAAAGGAGTTAAGCAACCTACTTGATAAAGAATTCAAAGTAATGATCATAAAGAGGCTCGCTGAACTCAGGAGAAGAGTGGATGAACACAGTGAGGACTTCAACAAAGAGACAGAAAATTAAGAAAGTACCAATCAGAGCTGAAGAATATGATAACTGAAATGAAAGCTACACTAGAGGGAGTCAACAGCAGTTAGATAATACAGAAGAACAGTTCGGCAACAGAGCACCGCCAATCATCTAAGCTGAGCACCAAATGGAAAAAAAGAATTTTAACAAATGAGCAGAGTTTAAAGGCACTCTGAGACTATGTCAAGCACACTAGCATAGCCTTACCGAGGTCCCAGAAGAACAGGGAGAGCAAAGGGCAGAATCTTAGGTGAAGGAATCACCCCAATATGGGGAAGGAAACAAATATCCGAGTCCAAGAAGCACAGAGTCCCAAACAAGACCCCAAATAGGTCCACATGAAGACACATTACAATTAAAATGTCAAATATTGCAGATACGGAGAGAATCTTAAAAGCAGCAAGAGAAAAGCAACTAGTTACACACAAGAGAACTCCCATGAGACTATAAGCTTTTTTTTTCCCCAGAAACTCTGCAGGCCAAAAGGGATTGATATGATATAGTCAAAGCTTTAAAAGAAAAACTTCCAAGGTTATCATTCAGAATTAAAGAACAGATAAAGAGTTTCCCAGACAAGCAAAAGCTAAAGTAATTCATCAACACTAAACCAGCCTTACAAGAAATGTTAAAAAGACTTCTCTGAGTGAAAAAGTAAAGGATGTAACTAGAAATAAAAATACATACATTTTAAAATCTCACTGATAAAGACAAACATATGGTAAAGATAGTGGATCAACCACTTAAAAACTAGTATGAAGGTTAAAAGACATAAAATTATCTAATTGTACAATAATTAATTAAAAGCTACACAAAAATATAAAGATGCAAAATATGATGTCAAAAACATAGAACCCAGGGGTAGGGATTAAAATGTAGAGCTCTTTAGATGCGATTGAACTTAAGTGACCACCAACTTAATACACTGCTATATGCAGAGGTCATTAAATATAAACCTCTTGGCAACCAAAAACTGAAATTCTACACTGGACACAAAAATAGAAATAAAGAGAAATGAACCTAAACATATCATTAAACAAAGTCATCAAATCACATGGAAAGAGAGCACAGGAAGAAGGAACAGAGAAGCACAAAATGGAAACAAGTGCATACCTATCAACTATTCATGTACATGAACTAAATGAACTAAATCAGAAGACACAGGGTAGCAGAATGATTTTTTAAAGACCCACACACATGCTGCCTACAAGAGACTTATGTCTTATCTAAAGACACACACAAAGTGAAGGGATGCAAAAAGAGATTCCATGCAAATGGAAACAAAAAGAAAGCTAGGGTAGCAATAATTGGACAAAATAAAATTTAAAACAAAGATGGTGACATGAGAAAAAGAAGGGCGCTGAATAATGGAAAAGGGACCAATCCAACAAAAGGATACAACACATGTAAACATCTAGCCACCCAACGTACCAACAGAAGCACCTAAATTCATAAAGTAAATACTAACAGACATAAAAAAGAAACTTACAGTATTACAATAATAGTAGAAAACTTGAACACCCAAATTACATCAATAGATAGATCAACAAACAGAAACTCAATAAGAAAACAATGTGTGTAAATGATACATTGGACCAGATGAGATTAATATAAGCATACAGAATATTTCAGCCCAAAACAGAAGAATCCTCTCCAAAGTTGATTACATGTTAGGCCACAAAACAAGTCTCAATACATTTCAGAAGACTACAGGCATATCAAGCATCTCTTCCAACCACAAAGGTATAAAATTAGAAATTAATTACAAGAAGAACCTAGAAAAATACAAACACATAGAAAGTAAACAACATGCTACTGAATAACCAATGGGTAATATAGTTTGTAAAGCTATAATTTGTTTCATATTACAAACATATTATATTATGTTATATTATAAAATATACTGAAGTATATTATAAAATATTATAATTTGTTGTCATTATTATAAAATATACTTTATTATAAAATAAATTTTATTACAAAATATAATATACTAAAGTACATTGTAAAATATACTACAAAGTATAGTTTGTAAAGTATAGTATAGTAATCAAAATAATATGGTACTCGTAACAAAACAGACATATGGATCAAAGGAACAGAATACTGAGCCCAGAAATAAACCCACACTTATATGGTCAATTAATCTACGACAAAGGAGACAAGAATATACAATGAGAAAAAGACAGTTTCTTCAATAAACACTGTTGAGAAAATTGGGCAACTACCTGCAAAGGAATGAAACTGGACCACTTTATTATATCATATACAAAAATAAACTGAAAATGGGCTAAACACTTAAAAGTAATACATGAAACTATAAACTCCTAGAAGACTACACAGGCGATATATTCTCCGACATCAGTCTTGGCAATCATTTTTGTGTTGCCTCTTCAAGCAAGAGCAACAAAAGCAAAAATAAACAAATGGGACTACATCAAACTACAAAGTTTTTACACAGTGAAGGAAAGCATCAACAAAACAGAAGAGCAACCTACTGAATGGGAGTAGATATTAAAAACATATCCAATAAGGGATTAATGTCTAAAACATATAAAGAACTTATACAACTCAATGTTTTTAAAATACGATTTAAAAATGGACAGATAATCTAAATAAACATTTTTCCAAAGACAACATATGGGTGGCCAACAAGCAAATGAAAAGATGCTCAGCATCACTAATCATCAGGGATATGCATAGCAAAACCACAATGAGACATCCCTCACCCCTGTGAGAATGGCTAGTATCAAAAAGACAACACATAACAAGCACTAGGGAGGATGTAGAGAAAAGGGAACCCTGGTGCACTATTGGTAGGATTGTAAATTAGTGCAGCCACTATGGAAAACAGTATGGAAGTTCCTTAAACAATTAAAAATAGAATACCCTGAGATCCAACAATTCTATTTCTGGGTATATATCCAAAGAACATAAAAGCACTAATTAGAAAACATATGTACCCCTAATTTTATTGTAGCACTGTTTACAATATTCAAGATATGGAAGCAAACTAAGTGGCTCTTTATAGATGAATGGATAAAGAAGATTTAATATATATCACACACACACAGGAATAGTATTCAGCCATAAAAAATAATGAGATCTTGCCATTGAAGACAACAATGATAGACCTAGAAGGTATTATGCTGAATAAAACAAGTCAGACAGAGAAGGACAAATATTATATGATTTCACTTATATGTGGAATCTAAAGCAAACACAGAAACCAGAAACACACTCAGATTCAGAAAACAAAATGATGGTTGTCAGAGAAAAGGGATTTGGGGACATGGGGCTTATAGGTGAAGGGGATTAAGAAGTACATTATTCCAGTTATAAAATAAATAAGCCATAAAAATGTAATGCACAGCATGAGGATATAGTCAATAACATTGTAAAAGTTTTGTATGGTGAGAGGTTATCAGAGATTTATCATGGTGATCATTTCATAAGTATATAAGTATCAAATTCTTATGTTATACTCCTCAAACTAATATAACATATGTCAACTCTAGTTCAATAAAAATATATATTGCTTTCAAATATAATATACACACTGCAAAATTAATTGGAAACAAGCATTTGAATAGCGTAACAATCACAGGTAACGGTTTACCTGAACAAACAAAGCAATGATGGCGATCCCATGCGGCTTTCCCACAGCCTCATCGATACTGCCAAACAAGGTGGAGTTCCAGTGGATCAGATGCAACTGGGTGGGCAACAATAGACAGGTCACCTCGTTACTTAATGTGCTTCCATTTAAAAAAGCAAAGACATATCAACTTTCCTTAACTATACGTATGTGGTATCATATGCAACAGGAATATCACAGATAGACTACTGCTTTAACACGGGTTCTCTGTAGAAACGTCTTCCTTCTGATTTCTGAACAGAAGTGCTGCTTAGTGGACTGCTGCCTCTCCAGTCCTGCTTCAGTCCTAATCAGGACCACATCGAAGGAGACTTGGCAGATTTCGCATTGATGTGGTTGCCTTTCTTTGTCATACCCTCTGGGTCTCAATGGAACAAAACTCTGGGACAGGGAACAAACCCTAGAACTCACTCACAGGATGAGCACCTGCAGTATTTCCATGAAGAATAAGACAAAGCCAGTCTCAAATTCTGATAAATTATTTCAACCCTCTAAGAATATCCAGAGGTAGGATCCTATAAAAAATGTTGCATCTTTTTAAAGCCACGGTAAAATAATGAAAGCTGATAAGGAGCGCTAAAAGGAGGCTCTTCCCCGAGCTGAGATAAAGTGTTATCTGTGAAGGAATGACAAGCAATGCTCTAGAGGACTCCTTCGCTCCTGGTCTCATAAAGCTTTGGAGCTTTCAAGCTTATCTAGAAAATGCACTTGCTCCTACAGCCCTGATAAAACCCTTGCAAGAAGCCAAATTCAATTCCCTGGCTAAAATTAAATGACCACTGAGGTTCTTAGTTAACAGTGGCTAGGTAAGCCTCCTCCTGGAATGCCATCTCCGTCACTGTAGATTTTCATCAAGTTATAATTACTCACTACCTTAAAATACCATCTTATTTTAAAAAAATAGTTCTCATCCAAAAATACATAGTTAAAATTCAATCACCATGTCATTTTAGCATCCATATTAAAATATTATTGAAAATTATCATGAGGATTGCCACAAATTTGTTTTTTTAGCCAAATTTGTCCAAGAATATGAAATTCTAAAACTGACCACTAGAGGGAGGTAGTGAAGTCTTCTGCCCCTATGCAATAGGAAACGACTATACGCAAGACCAGGGTCGGGTCAGGCTATGAAAAAGCCACGTGGACTATGACTGCCCAATAAATGTAACTGTCAAGACCCTGCCATTAAGAAAACAATGTTTTACAGCCTTTCAGTTAATAGTCAAAGACCAACCAATTTTAATCTTTCCCTGTCTGGCTACAACAATAGCACAGGCGTCTCAGTGGAACAGACCAATGTACATTGTTGCTGATAAGAACTGATTGCCTTAATTAAATCAAGAAAGACAGCCCAAGGTTGAAATCTAATTTTATTTGACAAATTACAAGGTTCAAATCAACATTTTCCTCACTTCTCACAGCCACATTATGGGGTATTTTTTTCTGATACAAAACAAATAACTGAAACGACATCGTCATTTCCTTTTTTTTTTATAAGCCTTGCAATTCAGGAACATTGTCACTCACACTGGATCTTCAAAACCTTCTTCACATTTTTTGTGCTTAAAAAATTTAAGGCCACCCACTCCTTAGGTGTGTCCTGCCTGCGCTGACTTCATTTCCAAGATGGTAGTACAGAAGAGTAGCTTTACCATAAACACTGACAAACACTACCTGAGCCAGGTGATCAAGGTCAAATTCAACAGCTATCAGTCATGTTGAAAGTACAGATGGTTAATTCAAGTACCAAGCAAATTTCCAGCACCTTCTGGAGACATGTTATAACCTAGTACATACTCAATTTTATGTAGTAGTAACCTTGATGCACAATCCACAAACAACACTCTACAGTTTACTGCCTCTCAGCTTCAGCTCACTCTGTGTTCCCGAAACCCCTCCTCACTGCACCCGTATTAGTCTGCTAGGGCTACCGTGACAAAGAACCACAGACTGAATGGTGCAAACAACAAAGATTTATTTATTTCTCACAGTCCTGGAGGCTGGAGTCCAAGATCAAGGTGTCAGCAGGTTTGGTTGCTTCTGAGGCCTCTCTCCTTGACTTGCAGGTGGCTGCCTTCTCCCTGTGCCCTCCCATCATCTTTCCTCTGGGCATGGCTGTGTCCCAGTTTCCTCTCTCCTTAAGGACACCAGTCACACGGGATTAGGCCCTGCCCTAGCAACCTCATTTAAATCTAATTACCTCTGCAAAGATCCTATCTCCAAGTATGGTCACATTCTGATCTACAAGGAGCTAAGACTTCAAAATATAAATGGGGTGGAGGCACAATTCAGCCTGTAACACCGTCCACCTCACCTTTCCCTCAACTTAATGAAATTTTTTCAGATGGCAAAAGCCTAAATTATTCACATCAATTTCTGTTCTCCCACTTTCCCGTTTTTACCCCATCATTTTGTATTTCCCCTTATATTAGTGTTGCTCTGTTCCCAAAAGCAAAGCCACATGGATACAGAAAAATTATCAGTGCTTTTGAAGAACTAAGAGTACCTGCGGGTAATGAAAGGGTACATAAGTCTGGCAGTGATGGGAAAGAAGAGGCTAGGATGTTAGAGGGGCTCAGGCTGCACAGAGCTTTGAATTTTATCATAATTGTGCTTTGGGAATCACTACAGCAATACGGCAGTGAATATTATTATTACTTATGTTGCTTAGACTGATGCAAACTCCCCCAAGGCAATGTGTTTCCTTCAAAGGCCCTTTTGGCTTCATGGGGGTGAATTGGAAGTGTTAGGCATGGGAGTCTGGAAAACAAGCTAGGATGTGACCACAAAAGTTCCGGCTGAAAAACGATGATAAATACTTGGGATGGTTAATTTTATGTGCCAACATGGCCAGGCTATGGTGCCCAGTTTTTTAGTTAAAAACTAGCCTAGATGTCACTATGAAGGTAGTTTTTTAGATTTGATAACCTTTAAATCAGTAGATTTTGAGTAAAGCAGATTACCCTCCATAATATATGTGGGCCTGCTCTGTTAGTTGAAAGCCTTACAAGCAAAGAGTGAGGTCCCTGAAGGAGAAGCAATCTACCTCCACACAGTAACATAAAAATTTCACCTGAGCTTCCAATCTTTGGTCTGTCCTGAAGATTTCTAAATTGCCATTTTCCACAATCACCATTTCCTCAAAATGAATCTTAATTTATCTTTCAGTAGATAGATAGACAGACAGAGATAGACACAGACACAGACATAGTAACGGATCTGTTTAGCTGTATAAAATCTGTCCAGAAAAAGTCTGGCCATCATTAACATAATGGGAACAGTTTGTGAAACATCGATGAGACCTGGCAGCCAACGAGAGTGGACTGGGACGTGCATGTGTGAACAATGATGACTTCACTGTACTAGTCAGTGAGGGCAGTAGATGCTGTTGAGGTGACCATGTGTACTGTGTGGCCATTGCATTCAAAATGATCGAGAAAGCACAGAAATAAATCTGCATCGAATTTTGCATTAAACTTGAAAATTCCTCGTGGAAACTATTTGGATGTTCAGAAGGCTGCAGCTATGGGCAACTGAAAATTGGCAGCTTCATCAAGAAAACACACCCGCTCTTGCATCACATCTCAAGCAGTTTTTCGCAAAACATTAAATCACCCAGGTGACTCAGCCCCTCTGCAACCCAGATTTAGCACCCTGTAACTCCTTGTTTTTCCCCAAAACTAAAATCACATTTGAAAGGTAAAAGATTTCAGACTGTCCATGAGATTCAGGAAAATACCATGGGGCAGCTAATGGTGATTAGGAGAACTGTGTGAGGTCCTGAAGGGGACTGAGGTGTCATTGTCCTTTGTACGATGTTTCCTGCATCTTGCATCTCCTTGAGTAAATGCCTCTATTTTTCATATTACATGGCTGGATAACTTCTGGACAGACCTAGTATGTCTGTTTCTCTGGAGAACCTCAACTGATACAGGTTGTATAAACAAATGAAAAAAAAGTATAAAGATGAATGGAGGTTTAAATCTGAACAAGGCTAGGAGGGATAAAGACAGGGCTCGAACAATTAAAATGACAATATCTGGAATTCATTCTCCTAACACTAAACATGGTTCCTTTGGGGAAGGGAAATGGAGGACACAACAACCCACCGATTATCAGAAAGAACAAATTAGAACTTCTGCTCCTATTTATCCAGCGTCTTTTTAATTTGGATTCTTTTATGCTCCACAAAATAGATCTGATAGATAGGAAGAAGGAAGGAAGGAAGGAAGGAAGGAAGGAAGGAAGGAAGGAAGGAAGGAAGGAAGGAAGGAAGGAAGGAAGGGAGGGAGGGAGGAAGGAAAGGGAGAGAGACAGAAACTGAAAATACGTATTAGTGCATGAATGCAATTTATTAATATATATGGCCATATTAAGGATATGTACTCCAAATTTCTTTTAGAAACAAATGGTTTTGAATGGAAAGGCACGTGATACCAAGAATATGGTTTAGCAAATGAAGAAGTGGCCCACGGTGTTTAAGGGAGGCTTGGTAGAGGTCCAAGCAGACAGTTATTATCAGGCCAGGGAGCTGGAAGATGAACTTCAAAGCCTGCATGAGACAGGCTCTGGGCTGTGTCTGGTCTACCGCAGAGTACGGAACGCAGAGGCGGAAACACAGCACAGCTCTGCAACTCTGCTGATCAATTCTTAGAGGCAACGTGCTCTCATAAAAGACCTCTGCGCTAGGAATCACAAGCTTTAGATTCTTGTTTCAGTTCCACAACTCCTCAGTTCTGTGAACTTCACAAGGCACTAACTTCTTTGGGCATCAGACTAACATAAGGAGTGCTATATCTTAAAAGCGTGGCTTCTTCATACCTTTCCCTGATCTCCCATAGTACTCTCTCTATTCCTGTATTATCATATTTTGCTGTAGGTGTAGTCAGCAAAGGCATAGAAGCAGAGTGATGAATTCTGATGGAGAGCAGCTTAATAATTTGTAGTGAAGACCAAGTATATAGATGTCTCTTACCATTTCTAAGGAGTATAAAGGTCAAATGGTATTATTGCTACATCTACGGTCTAGACTCAGACGGTCCCACTCTGCTCCG